TGTGCTATTCTCAAGTTGTTAGAACTGTTCCATTTCAATTAAGCACCCGGTGATGTTAATCGTTTTCAATTTCCGATTACTATTGCTTGTCGTAATTTATTTTTCCAATCTATTTCCGTTAATTCAACCATAAATGCTTCCCTTACTTTGTGGACCCTTTCTGTCCATTCTAACTGAGGCAGTAGGTAAGTAGCTTGACATGATTTGTAAATTTGTTGAATAGATTTAAATTTTCCAAAACTATAGCTGAAAACAGCTGCGAAAAAAATATGTGACATGTAGCGTTTACTTCTCATTTACCTCAAGTAACGCATAATGATAACAAAAGCAGTTTTGGAAAACACAAATTAAAAGTGCAAATGAGCTCATGCGCTGTTTACCAATAGTTCAATAAATCTGCTGTTGGAGGGACTCCTAAAGGCAACTACTTATCTTCATTGTTACAAGCTTTTTGCTTCATCTTTCTCCATTATGTTTTTTGCTTCCATTTGAATGTTGAAAAACTTTTGAGGTGATTTCTCCGAGTATGACGAGCTCATTTGATGTAAAATGTGCATGCAATGTTGAGTATCAAGCAGCTGTCGCGCTCATCGAAGAAAGATTGCCCTTTCACAGTGGGCGTGAAGAGTGTTCGCTAATGCCATCTGATGACACATGTGCAGGAACTTTACGACTGTGATATATATTATGTACATATATAGTTGGTGCAAGCGTAGATTTGAACTTTTGACTGTGAACTAGCCCTTATGCGCACATTATTTCACCTAGAAAGCAGAGGCTAGGGAAAATACATTGTTTACTCACTTTTTTGTTCATTCATCTGGAAGTGCATGTGATTATTCATTCCTTTTGTCCGAATCATTTGCGGCGCATGTTTTGGAACACACTGTTTCTCAAAGTCAGATTCTTGCAGATGACCGAAGACGGGGAGCACAGTCGAAGTCCAGACGAGTGTGCTCAGGCCGGCCTTTGGGAAGTTGAGCCATTATACTACAGTATCCCGGGTCGCTCGGATCGTAGTCGCCGCGGCAAGGTATTTGAACTCTTCTTTGGAACTCCGTCGTAAAATTTCGCGACAAGAATTCACATTAACATGCGTGTTTTAGGCTTACCGCAAAAGATCAGATGGCGAAATTTGTTGTTTCGAAGCTCATGATGGTATTATTTACAAACCGGGTGATAATGTTTACATTGAGACAACATCTGCCGATCCATATATAGTTGGATCAATAACTTTGTTCAAAATGGTGAGTTTTTTTAGTTTGTTTTTCTTTCTGTAGTTGGATTCATTCTTGAGAGAAGCTCATTATACCTGGGTTTCCGCGTGCAAATGTCACAAAAATAATGCTTGGTTTACATCATTTCAACAAAATCAATGCGTATAGCGAG